CTTGCCTCTGAATTGCCAAACTATGTCGAGTTCAAAGCCAATTACTATTCATGTTTCGTGCACAACACATATTGTGGAAATTTGGCAGATATGTCTGGGTTAAATTCTGAGACAGGTTTTTCTTTGGAACATGCTTTAAACCGATCTTTTGCAAGCTGCAATGGATGTATTCTGATTTTTCATTCATCAGCAATAGCTTTGATGTCTTGTGAGTGTGGAAGATATGTTGTGTTTGACTCTCATTGTAGGGGCAGTGATGGCTTGTGTGATCCTAATGGAAATTGTGTCTTAACAAGTTTTGATAGTTTTGTTCACTTATGTAGCTTCTTGCGACTTCTTTGCATGTCTATTTCTACTATTCCATTAGAAAATGTTCAATATGAATTAAATTCAATTCACATGAAATCTTTGAAATCAAAACCGAGAAAGTCTTGCGTGAAAATATTTAGCCCATGCAGTAATCGACCAAGAAAAAGAGGTTCAAAAGATCAATGCGAGAAATCAGAGGTCTTGAAAAACTGTACACCTACAAAATGTGTAAAAATCAATCCCGCCTACGGTGCAGATGAGTTAGAAGAAATTGTTACACAAGCAGAAGGAGAAGTTCCCCATGGAAGTTTTTCTCAATATCCTAATGACCGAAGCCCAAATGATATTCTTCCACAAAATGGCCATGAATGTGAAAGTGAAACTGAGAACATTTCATCTCATTTCTTGCACAAAGAAAATGAAAGAAATCATGTAAATAATAAGGATAGATTTGTCAGTACACACAAAACAGAGGCAACTATTTCAAATTTCAAGAAAATTGCAAACTCAGGTCCAACTTATGTCTGCTCGTGTTGTACACAAACATGGTTCAGAGAAGGTGTGAAAAATGCAAATACTTTGCAGAAAGGAGGAATTGCTAATAAGTGTTTATTAGGCATCAAAAGTGAAGTAGACATTGAATGGGTTTGTCATACCTGTCACAGGCTCCTACAACTTAGGAAAATACCCCCTTTTGCAGTTGTGAATGGGTTTCGTTTTCCGGAAATACCTTCAGAATTGAAATTAACAGAAATGGAGGAACGATTAATTAGTCCACGTATTCCATTTATGCAGTTGATGGAAAAACCAAGAGGAGGGCAAAAGAGCTTGCGCGGGAATGTTGTTAATGTCCCGTCTGATGTGAATAAAACCATCAAATCTCTACCACGCACACTTGCAGAAACGGAAACTATTCAAGTAAAATTGAAGCGAAAAATGCAATTCAAACACCATGTGTATCATGAGTCAGTAAGACCTCTCAAATGCCTTGTTGCCCTTCACTGGCTTTTAAGAAACAGTGAAATATTTCAAAGTGAAGGAATTACAGTCAGAGAAAATTGGAATATTTTGGAAGAACAAAGAGACTGGTATGGTTATAATGATGATTCTATGCCAAATACCTCTCAACCTAATGAGACAGAAATGAGGGAGACAAGTGAATATGATGATGTATGGACAGAGGATGAAAATTTTGAAAATAGACTCACAGGAAATACAGACACCCTGTTACATCCTGTTGATGTGAGATCTTCTCAGAAAATCTTGTCATTTGCCCCTGGTGAAAACCAAACACCCCTCGGTTTGTACCAAGATCCTAATGCTGAATACCTGGCATTTCCTACCATCTATTGTGGCCAACCACGTCCTTCAAACAAAGACAGAATGGTTCCAGTTACCTATAGCTCTATTTGCAAATGGGAATTGAGATCTCGAGACAGAAGAGCAGCATGTTCCATGCCTAATTTGTTTTTCAAACTTAAAAAGGTGCAAATCAAGCAAATACAAGACAAAGTTACCCTGGCAATGAGGAAATGTAAAAATGAAGGGAAAAAAATAACAGCTGGACATGTATTAAATCCAGGTACATTTGACAATATTGTAAGACTAAATGAAGGGTATAGAGTTTTGAGGACGTTGAGGGGTTCGCCTGCATATTGGGAAGGTGCAAAAAAAGATGTATTCGCTATGATCAGACAGTTGGGCATTCCTACTTGGTTCTGCTCCTTTTCTGCCGCCGAGACAAAATGGAAGAATTTGCTTCAAATATTAAACAAAGGCTTGAACAACACAGATCTGTCTGAAAAAGATGTTGATGAATTGTCATGGATTGAAAAATGTGAACTCATAAAAAAGGATCCTGTAACTTGCTCCAGGTATTTTGACCACAGATTCAAGATGTTCATGTCTCACGTTCTGAAAGGAAATGCTCAACCTTTAGGAAAAATAGTTGACTATTTCTATCGTGTTGAGTTTCAACAGAGAGGATCTCCTCATATCCATCTTTTACTTTGGATTGAAAATGCTCCTATTTATGGTCATTCAACAAAAGAAGATGTACAAAACTTTATTGACAAACATTCAACTTGTTTCCAGAATGATGACATTGCAGAACTTGTAAACTATCAAACACATCGACATGCACGGACATGCAAGAAAGGCGGTAAAAACATTTGTCGATTCAATTTCCCATTGCCTCCCATGCCAGAGACACTTGTTCTTGAACCTCTCACTGAAGAGTATTTTGAAAAAAATCCCAGTGTACAGCAGGATTTTCAAAAAATATGTGAAATTATGAATGATGTGCAATTATTGCAGTCCCTCAAAACTTTCACTGATTTCTTACAGAAGTTAGAAATGACAAAGGAGAGATATATCTTAGCAATAAGGTCATCTTTGAAGTCATCAAAGGTATATTTGAAACGAGAAGTATCAGAAACCAGAATCAACTCATATAATGACACCTTGCTAAGGTCTTGGGAAGCAAATATCGATGTTCAATTTATTCTGGATGGATATGCTTGTGCAGCGTATATCGTTTCTTATATATCAAAATCTCAGAAAGGCATGTCGAATTTGCTGCATGATGCATGTGAAGAAGCCAGAAAGGGCAATTTTTCTTTGAAACAGCAAGTTAGACAAATAGGAAACAAATTCTTAACTCATGTTGAAATTTGTGCCCAAGAAGCTGCATATTTGTTATTGCAAATGCCTCTCCGATCCAGCAGTAGAACTGTCATTTTCATCAATACAAGTGAACCAGGAAATCGCACTTTCTTACTGAAGTCTTTTGAAGCTCTCCAAGAGTTACCTGAAAATTCTACAGATATTGAAACAGACAACTGGATTAAACGCTACCAAAGAAGACCAAGAGTTTTACAAAATTCATGTTTAGCTGATTTTGTATCAAAATTTGATGTTATTAGGCCCCCAAAAGAAAAACAACACACGGACACTGATGTCTTGCCAGAAGATGATTTTGACGAGGTGAATGATGATGATTCACAGGAAAATGATTGTTTGAATCATGAGAATGAAAGAGAGTATCCAATGAATGATGGGTCTATACTGAGATTAAGAAAAACAAGCAAGATAATAAGGTATGTGCACTACAATAAAGAACAAGATACAGAGAACTATTACAGAGAGCAGCTCATGCTTTTTTACCCCTGGAGAAAAGAGGAGGAAGATCTGAAAGGAAGCCATGGTTCTTACGAGTTATGTTACCAAGAACACGCTGAAATAGTTTTGAAAAACAAACTGCCGTATGAAATGGACAATGGTATAACCAATGTAATTGAAGAAAATATGGATCATATTGCTTGTGGTATGGAACACATTGTTGCTGCAGAAATACAACACAGTGAAGCAATAGATACTGGTGATGATGAAAATGTTTGTCCAGATTATGGTTGTTTCAATCCTGACATGGCTGGTGTTGAATATGACTTGGGGATGGATTTGGGCATAACAAGAAAACAAGTGGAGAAGAATGACGTTTTAGTGAATTCCATGGATAACACTGAATACAATGCCCTTGTGAGAACACTGAATAATAAACAGAAGATTTTCTTTTATCATGTTCTGCACAAAGTCAAAAGTGATGATTTACCAATTTATTGCTTTTTAACGGGAGGAGCTGGTGTAGGTAAAAGCTTATTGACAACATGCCTTTTTCAAGCCATTTCACGTTTCCTGTCAAAGCGCATTGCAGAAAATTGTGATGAGGTGAAAGCTGTGTTATGCGCACCAACTGGTAAAGCAGCATACAACATAGGAGGTCATACAATACACTCCCTTTTCTGCATTCCAGCAAATCAAAATCTGAAATACAAACCTCTAGATGTACAGCAACTTGACAGAATGAGAGTAAAGTTTAAAAGTCTAAAAATTGTCTTTATTGATGAAGTTTCTATGGTTGGAAATAGAATGTTCAATTTTATAAATTTGAGACTTCAGGAAATTTTTGGAAAAGACAGCCCTTTTGGAGGAGTAAGCATCATAGCAATAGGGGATTTATTTCAACTGAAGCCAGTGTTTGATGGTTGGGTGTTTGAGAACATTTCTGATGGGTATGGGCCACTTGCACTTAATCTTTGGACTGACCTATTTGAAATATATGAATTGACAGAAATAATGAGACAAAAAGATGACCAGGACTTTGCAAAGTTGCTTAACAGACTTCGAGAAGGTGCACATACTGCATCAGATATTGACATGCTGAAAACCAGAAGTTGCAACAAGACAGACATTCAAGATATGAATTTTATACCACATTTATATACAACGAATGTGAAGGTGAATAGTCACAATGATGAAGCTTTTGCAAATGCCTCACCTGAAAGTAAATGTATTGTATTGGCATTAGACACAGTGACTGGCGATGTTACAAGTGAAATCAAATCAAAGATACTCAGTCAAGTGCCTGATGATCCTTCAAAAACAATGGGATTATTCAAAGAGTTACCTTTAGCAATTGGACACCCTGCAGAAATCTGCATAAATGTTGATGTGGAAGATGGCCTAACAAATGGTAGTCCCTGCATTGTCAAAAATTTAGACTTCAGAATTGCAAGTTCCAGCAGATGTAGCATAGTTTGGGTTTTGTTTGATGACTCAAGAACAGGATATGCTGCGCGAGTAAAATACAGGCATTTGTACAATGAGCACATACCAAGTCCTTGGACACCTGTTCTTGAAGTGTCAAAGAAATTCACTGTTGGAAGACATAAATCTTGTCATGTAACTAGACGACAATTTCCATTACGCCTGGCATGTGCCAAAACAATCCACAAAGCTCAGGGATCCACTCTTAAACATGTTGCATTAGATTTGGGAACTCGAAAGCAAGAGCATATGCATTATGTTGGATTAAGTCGAGTAAGAAAGTTAGAAGACTTGTTCATCCTGAATTTGAATGACACCAAAATTGCTGTGTCAGAACAAGTCATGCAGGAAATGAATCGCTTGCGTCTTGAAGCCCCTTTATGGGGATGTTTACCAATACTTGAGAATTTGACGTCAGATGTGAAAGTAATATATCACAACAGCAGATCTCTGCATTTGCATCATAAAGATTTGATGACAGAACAAAATATGCTTTCTGCTGACATCATTGCAATTTCTGAAAGTAGACTAAAATCAAGTGACAAGAATGAAGACTACAAATTGCCAGGTTTTACTATTCATCGTTTTGATTCAAGCACACAAAATGATAAAGAAAGACCTCATTATGGATTAGTTGTTTATTCCAGAAAACCTTTGAAAAACATCAAAAATCTGTGTTTATGTGGCATTGAAATGGTCATATGCTCTACTCAGACAAAAGATGAAAATGTCCAGTTGGTCTTCTTTTACTGTCCACCAAGGTTTGCAACAATCAAAAACTTCCACCTCTGTATGACCTCCCTTCTGTCTTTGAGTTTGTTGGATATCATGAAACCTGTTGTTCTGATGGGGGACACAAATATTGACTTATTTTCCCAAAAAGAACAACAATTATTGGAAAAGACAATGGATGTTCCACTACTTCAAATAATGCATAGTTCGACTACAGATTATGGTAGTTGTTTGGATCACATATATACAAATAGGCCTGTCAATACTTCTGACAATTTCACTGGTGTTTCATGTGCTACTTTAGAATCATTTTACTCCGACCACAAACCCATTGTAGCATATATACCTCTGTAAGCTGTTTTAACGATTTCTAATTACATGAACAATACTTCTACCCACTTTTTTGAATTTTGTGCCATTTAAACATCACTTAACTATAGCATATTAATGTTTGGCCATGTACATAGATCATATATTCACAGTACAGTTGAGCAAAATGTTTGTAAAACATAAGTTTAAGAAAAATAAAACCATTAATGACCTCTTTCTTCCTGTAAAGTTAAATTAGACAAAAATTGACAAACTGACTTATTTATAACCATTAATTTAATAATAAACATTTCTTGTGTTAAAGCATACTAGTATTCTGCATTATCTTTCAGATGCTCTACAAGACTCTAAGAGACCTGCAGGTCTCTAGACCAGGAGACACTGCGCCCTACCCTACGACAATGGTGAAAGTCAAGGTAGTGAAGGTTGGGCACACAGCCACCTTCACCAACAGTAATGGAGATAGAGGGCAGATTATGAACTTCAGTGTAGCTGACACCACTGAAGCAATGCTTGCCACTTTGAGTGATGAGACCAAATTTAACCAGATTAGAGAAGGGCGATCGTTAACGATCAGGAATTTTCTTGTGAAAGGAAATAGAATCATCTTCTCAAGGCAGTCAAAAATCATGGCTGGTCAGGCTGTAGCCGTTCCACCCAACCTAGCTTCAAGGGGCCACACACTCATTGTTCCAGCATCCCCAACAAAGACTTTGAAAGAAGTCATGGAGTCTTCAAACAAAGACGTTCTAACAGTCCATGGAGAAGTTATCAAGGTAACATTATTTAAAAAATGGATTTAATAACAACACCTACCATAATGTAAAACCTGGGTTTGGGCAGTTAATACTTTATAAACCATGAAACATTATATAAAAAAATGTTAACTGCCCCAACCAAGGTTTTAGAATTATATTTTAGGTAGCTATTTAATTCATACCTTACTATTTAATTTTCAAGTATTAAGAATATAAAACAATACAAGTTCTTTCTTTAATAAGCCTTCAAATTGTTCATATTTTAAACATAACGTCGAGTAGACTCATATGATTTTGACCTTAGTCATAGTGATGTAGGCTAATCAGATTATACAATTAAACATTAATTTTTTATCCAATTAAATGATGCCTTCCAACCAAAGATAAATTATTAAAAAAATATATATCATTCATCAGAAATGCATTGACTTCCTTTCATTTCCAAACCATTTTACCAAAGAACTTTATTCTGACTACTTTAATATGGTATGATAAATTGAGCAAGTATATTTCTTGACACAGGACGAGGCCATT